AAAGACGGGCGGAAGTGGTGTAGTGGCAAGTGGCACGCTCACCACGCGAGCGGGGGATCAAATCCTGGGTCGTGAGTCGCCCGGGCCAACCAAGCCTTCCATCCCTCCGGGGTCGGTTAATTGGTACCAGACTTGTCTGGGAGGATAAAAAACTGACTTGAACATCGGCTGGCCCCCGCAAGTCATTGTATAGGCCACATCGCATTCAAACGCCACTGCGAATGTACAAATGGAAGTAGAATGCGTGCCGCATCCCAAAAAGGGATTGATCAACGGCAAATGCTTTATCCTTTATTCAGGATAGGACTTCTGGAACCTGAAAGCTCTCAAAGACCACATTGCCGCAGGGCATTGCCTTCATTTGTGCAGTCGACGGTAGCTGATCGAGTGTAAAATAGATTGTTTGCTATCAATTCATGTTCAGATTTTCGTATTATAAAAAACGGTAGTAAAAAGAAATATATGGAGGATATCTTGGGCGTCGTTTTAGTAATATTACAAAGGTAACCAGCTGTTAACTTGGGGGAAGTCGGTGTGGGTGCGAGGCGAAGAGGAGCGTCGCGAGAGGGGTGTTCCTCGGTCACTCCTGTCCCTAGCTCAGCTGGTTTATGAAACCGAGACGAGAGAGTCTTCACCGAAATGGCTGAGAAATTCTAAACGTAGGAGGAAATTCTGGTAAAATGGGTCAGGGTCAAACATGGGTCGCGTAATCAGCATTGGAGAGGCCAGCGTTGAATTCAGCCTGCTTAGAGGGAGCTTTTGTTTGAGGATTCAGCGGAGGGGTCTGGTAAACTCTATTTCGGGATTTTGAGGAATTGCGAAGGAAATATGAAGTTCATTCAGCTCTATTATGGAAACTGTGAGGATGGGAAGGAGAGAAATAGAGAGGAGAAGAAATAGAGCTCGAGCATGCTACATTAATAATACAAGTTATTCCCTTTCGGAAGAGAAGCTAGGTGCCTATGGGTTTTAAGTTCCTCTTTCCACGCACCGTCCGCGCGCATTTCCATCATGAGCCGTTATATTTAACATTTCTGCTAATGGAATTCACGAATACTGAGAAGGCATAAAACAAGGTCATGAACGAATTGACTACCCACTCACAGGAATTCGTGATAAACCCCCTAAACAACGCATCCCATATCAAGCATGGATGTTTTCAAACGGGCGTGGGTCAAAAAGGCAGCGATTTACAGTTTTGGAGTTATCTAAATGGGAGGCAGGGTGCTCAAAGGTACACCAATGTCGAAAAAAGCAGTGAAATCCATCAGAAAAACTTGAAAGGATAACCTCCTCGCTTAGCCTTGATCTTCGCTCAGGGTGGAAATTTCCTTTAGGCATGTACGTTGTTCAGTTCGGAGAAGAAATGGCCTTTTACAGATTGATCAACCAGCGCTTAATCTGTTCGCACGGAGACTTCTATGTCTTAGCTGAAAACGAAGAGCGACTGGCCTATTTGCAATTGATCAGGTTCGTTTTACTCTGAAAATCCTAGTGTCATCCTCTGGTCAACCAATTGTTCGTTTCAGAGACGTGCTAGTGCTTCTGCATGCGCCTGCTGAGTCGGCCACACAAGACGCCGAGGAGATCATTGAGTTTGAAACCGCTCTCGCTAATGTTCGTTCAAACTACGACTTTGAAAATGTTAATTTTAAAGGAATCTTCCAGCGGGACATGGACCAGTGCGCAGGGACCGGAGAATTTGGGACAAATTGCACTCGCTCGTGGTAGGTACGGATCCACGTTCATGGGAAGGTTTGAAGTGAATCCTGTTCACGTTCGTGCGTTCGACACGTGGATCCGTACCTACCATGCATTTCGTCACAAAAACTTCCGGTCCCGCCCACTGGTCCATGGTCCGTGGAAGATTCCTTTAAGGAAATTTCCAAGAAACGAGAAAACTGATGTTCCATAGTAATGACTGAATTATTCATCTAACCGTGGAATTGATTCCTAACTGTAGTTGAAGTGAATCTCGGACTATTATCGGAGGTGACAATGCGGAGTAAAGGTGTAAAAAGATGGGACCTTGCGGGTGAAGCATGTGCCGCAAAATCGTTGACGGGGGTGTTCGGACAGTTACCAGCGGTCATAAGGCAGGGTCAACAGAGAACAGATGATCGTTAGCCTGTCGAAGAAGGACTAGAAGCATCATGGAACCGTGCACTCGACATAGTGAACTGGCGATGGATTTCGGACGTGCGGCGGTCACAGAACGGGTTTAATCAATACGTGCGGTTTTTTTCTTTATCTTGCGAAAAAAAAATGAAAATTTATTCCACAAGAGGCAGTGCAAAAACACACGACATTTTTGTTTTCTTTTTTCACAGAAAGTATAACAGAACGGTTAATCAAACCGTGCGGTTTTTTTTTCTTTTCATGCGAAGAAAAATTGGAAAATTCTATTCCACAAGAGGGCAGTGCAAAAGAACACGGACATTTTGAATAATAAAACGGTTTTATTATTCCAAAATCCTCAACAAGCTTCTTACCCCGTACGCGTCTGCAACACGTATGCAATGGTACTTCATGATTGATTCTCGTTGAGCAAAAATGGAAGCCTTGTATACCAAAGTGGTGGAGTGGGACTGTGGAGGGGGAGGGAGGATGGAAGGATGTGGCTTATTTGAAAGACATCCCTGCCTTGCATTGCGACCTCGTTGCGGGAAGCTGGCAAGACTCTTATATTTGAAGGGAATTGACCGACTCATCTATACGACAGGATCAAGCGTGCGGCTGCGCGGTTCTCAACGATGGGAATCATATAATGTGTTTTTTAGTAGTGGGGAGGGGGTCGGGTCGTATCAGGGTTGGTGAAGGTGAGAAGACTGGAAAAAGGGCGAGCGTATTTGTGAAAGTTGGATGGATTGAGGTGACAGGAAAAGGGGTATAGTTTTCGCTCGCGACAAGTTAAAGTACTGGAAATGGGAGGATTCTTCGTCATTAGGCATATAAAAGTGAGCGGAGTTAGGGTGCGTCGGCTGGTCTCAGAATCTCCGATTCAAATACTAATAGAAACAACCATGATGATGAGAGCTGCGGACGGAGATGGGAAGGGACGCGGCTCGTATTGGGGAACTCCCCTGAGGCTTGATGATGTGGTGAGTGGTCTTATCAAGCCCCTTGAAAAGAGGAGGGTCGTAAAAATTTTGGGGAACAGGAACAGCGGACGGTTGACCCTGGTCTGATATTGGGGCCATGGGAGTGGTATGCGGTGGTGCTTCCACTGCAACACTTTCCACTCAGTGACATTAATACGTGAAGAGGTACCATGTGAACGGTAGCGCTTGTTAGGGCCTCAACTTCCTTTTTCGATTAGTGAGACGAACTTGTAGAACAGATTGATTATGAATTTCAAGCCGCTATTTCTTCAAAATCCGTTACTAAGATTTCGCCTGCGGAAGTCAGAATACAACATTCATGTGCGCTTCCTTATTCAAAATATTTCTTCTGATTACTGTGCAGTCGAATAGAAATATTTGAGCAGCGCAATGTTTCTTCTCATAAAATCACAGTTTAGATTGGTTGAAGTCTTTCTAAAGCCAGTTTGTTTCTAATTATTCCCAAGTGAATTCGGCAAGTTTTAGATTACAATGGCAGACGACCAACGTCACGATATTGCCGAGCTCTACACAAAGATGACTTTAGGGCAAATGAAGCAACAGCTGCCAAATTTCGATTTGCAGCTCTTCTTCAATCAAGTCTTTCGTGAGATCACCGATCAGGTAAGCCTTCTTATAAAGGAGAAGGATAAAGTATAAAGCGTTCGCTGGCGATCATTCCCTTTTTGGGATGTGATTTCCATTTACCACATCTTCCCGCACTTCCATTTGTAACATTCGTAGTGGCATTTGAATGCGATGTGGCCTATACAATGACTTGCGGGGGCCAGCCGATGTTCAAGTCAGTGTTTTTATCCTCCCAGACAAGTCTGGTACCAATTAACCGACCCCGGAGGGATGGAAGGCTTGGTTGGCCCGGGCGACTCACGACCCAGGATTTGATCCCGGACCGCTCGCGTGGTAAGCGCGCCACTTGCCACTACACCACTTCCGCCAGATTTTTATACTGTTGCGGGAAGCTTGTAAACATCGAAACTTGTCCGGAAGAACAGAAATACGCTGACGTACACACCGGTTGGCTCCGTAGGTCATTTTAAAGAGCCAACCCGCATTCCAGTTGCCGCTATACTTATAGACTGATCACACCGAATGCTTTATCATTTCATTGCTGTCATACTATTTATGCTTTGTTGCACAGAGCAGTGGGCAGGCAGCAACGTTGCGTATTGGCCGTTCAGAGAAATTATCATGCTTGCCAAAGGTTGGGGTAGCAGGGTCAACCGTCCGTTCGAACTGTTCGAACGAAGGGGTCGCATTTTGGTCGGAAGGGGGTCGCAATTTCGAGGACTGCCAGCCACAGGCGCGTGCGTGGCGTATCCGAGGGCAAGACTTGCTTGTGCAGACCGCATTAGATTCGATTTATTATGCACAGAGAGACAGTTTTAGGCAAATTACAGTGTTTTCTTGAGGAATAAAGAACAGTTGAATGCATCCCTATGAAAGGTTTGACTTCTCGGGGCTGAAATTAAAGTTCTTCGGGACCTAATTTTCTGAGGACGATTCTTCCAGACAACGGTAAAACACATAAGAAAGCAGAAATCTCGTAGTCTTCAAAAATGTCTTCGCCCTCCCCAACAAGTTCTTTGAAGGAAGTTATTATTGCTGAAAGCTCAAAAACTCGCATGTGCTGCTCAAAAACCTATGGGAACAAAATGTTCGAACGTGTGATTTTCTCGGAAAATGATTTTGAAAAACGGTTTGGTGCTTGTTCAGAAAGAGCAAATCCTGTACTTTCACCCCATGAAAAAAGTGCATCACAGAAATGAAAATGAAGTGAGTTATGGTCGCTGAAAGCCCAAAAACTCGCTTTTGCACGAAAAATGTTCGAACGGGACAATTTTTTAAAAAGGGGACAATCACTAAATTTTTTTACTGTTTTGATAGAGAAATATTTGAAGTTTCTGAAACTTTTTACAGATTTCCAAAATGTCGCATACGAAAGATTTTATGGGCCTTCAAAGTTGAAGGTGCGCCTTCTTAGAATTTTGGGTTTTCCACTTCTAACAGAAGTACTTTCCGGAGAGTTAGGCAATCCTTGTAGTTTTCTGGAAGCGCACCTCAGGCACAATCAAAATCTACCTCAACAAGTCAAAAAATACGTCCCAAGAAAGTTATTCCCCTCTAAATTTTTTCTTCGCCGCGTCCCGTTCTTCCAGCGCCCGGGTGATACCTGCCGCGCTCCAAGGCTGACGCCGCAACGCAGACGCTTTCTGCGGCGGCGGCGCAGACGCTTTCTGGCGCAACGGATTCATGTCTAGCACTCTTATTAACAAAAACAGGGGGTCGCAACTGGACCCCCTCGAGAGCTAGGGGGTCGCAAAAATCCCGAAAATGTTCGAACGTGACGGTTGACCCTGTTGCATGTTGATTCCTGGATCACGGTCTGCGGGTGATAGAACACTCGCTGCAATTGGGTGCTCGCGTGAGACCACTAATCACAGACGAGTTAACGAGAAGGCAGATTTCACAAATACTGCCATGAAACGGCTCGAATGCATGATGCTTGGGCAAAACCGCTTCCCTTGAGACTGTATCCACTGCTAACTTTTTTTTCAGAACGGCACCCAAATCGTATTCGATGAGAATGCTGAGGTGGTGGTGTATGGTATCGAATTCCTTCGTCGGCTAGACAAATTGCTTCCTGAATACGAGAAAAGGTAGTCATTTATTCATTTGTTGGAAAGGCCTTTGTTCCGTTTTACGAGGAATTGTTATTACTTATTGCGAATGGGAAATCCGCCCTGAAAAATTAAGCATAGGACTAGAATCTGAAGATTCAAGTATCGGCTGTTCAAAAAATTCTCCCCCTGACTCGTTCGTAAACAGTATGAATCCAGTTAGAGAGTAGCCGATATACGCGCGTCTACTACAACTAATAGTAGATGGTGCGCACTACGGCAGTTCTCAATTTCCTTGTTCCTAAAGGCGGAGAAGCTGGAGAACGTACTGTAATAGACGATGCGATTCTCAACTAACTCATTCGTCGCGAGGTACCTGCGTGGATTATTCTTAGATGTAGTTCAAAAAGTTCGTTATCGCAGCGACCGAATGTTAGGTTTGAAGGAACTGATGACTATCAGCCAGCCCGACACAGTCAGTGCGACGGGATTGGTAATAGAATGTGATCGGGGGCGGTGGTAAGTCAACCAAGTCTTCAAAATATACCATTGGCCGCTGCAGATAAGACTCTTGAACTAAATACATTATGCTGATAATTCGATACGACCATGTCGTTTGAAGCTCAGTGTTGTTGAGGTGACGATCAGGCTGATGATTTCCTAATGATCCCGCGTCGTACCCGATTATCTTATTTTTTGGCAACCTTCAGCACTATTTCTGCCAAGGAAACATTTCAATTTGTGAACCAGTTCAGAGAAGCTTTCGAGATTCTGTCACCTCCCAATTTGGGTCCTTCTGAGAGGCTGAGAGGAGAGCAAATGAGAAGCTGCCGAAGCAGTGGCGTCGAGAGAGGTATTTGCTGAAGGAGCATGAGACCGATCTCAAGGCCAATTGGCTATTATCATAATCGCATAAAGTTTCGGGACGGGTTTTTTTCCGACCGGCCCTAGTACTTGTTATAACAGTGACCTTCTTTTTGCGTTACTATCCTGAATACTGTATTTATATTGCCCTCTGGCAACACAGAGGAGTTTGATCCACTGACATTACTTATGGTTAGAAGCAAGATTTAGGCTCAACCTGACTGTCTAAGTCACTCCATAGTCTAGGGGTTCCAGATTTGCAACTGTAGAGGTCGCGCTACCTTTCCCCCTTGAAACGCGTCACTAAATTGCTAAGGACCTTCGATCATATCCCACCAAATCTATCAGGGCACGCCCACTGCTCTACATCTTTATCTGAAAAAACAAAAAAAAAAAAAAAAAAAAAAAAAAAAAATTATTGACACTGTTTTTGCTGCTCTGGATGTGACTTGTTTTACCCTCTCCGCGGCTCACAGTATCTCTTATCTCGCTGTGTGCTTCTCGGATCTCTCACTACGTAAAACAAAGAAATTCGTATTTTCTGGTATTTTGACGATTTTTTCTACCCTGTTTCACTTTCGGCCCACCTCGCGACCCTACCTTTGGCTGTAGAGTGAAATTGTGAAAATTACCACGTGAATTGTTCTCGCTCATGCTTTACCCATCAATGCGCTCGAACTTGAACATGTTGTAAGATATTACTTTGCCACTTCTCTACATTGAGCTCCTGACAAGGGGAGTCTTTCAGTACATGGAGCGTTTTCACAATGGATTTCTGATTATTGTGGAGGCTCATGCTAAGACACAGAACCATTGTCCATCTTTCCGTGAACGTTCCCCAGAAAAGCCAAAAATAGCGGGAAAGACGCTAGTGGGCCAAAGCCGAATCCTCCGTGATGACAAATTTTTGCGATTTATTCATGTTGACGCCTCCAGAATGCTACAAAACACGACAAGACATCTATTCTCGGCAATGGCACCATTTGGCAGCGATCTCGAGGCAGCCAAATTATATTGCAAAAATTAGATATCACCGAGGATCGAACTCGGAACCATTTTACCATCACTGTTTTGACGTTAATGGTGGCCGTTTCAGGGAGAATAAATCATGGTTCTGTGTTTCGTAGAAGCCCCTTCAAAATGCAGAAAACCATTCCGAAAAAGCGCTCCATGCCGTGAAAGACCTCCCTTGTGAGCGCTCTTTTACTTTGTACCCATTACTCTGCACTATTTCGTTCATAGTCCCATGTTACTATACCATCGCACTTGTTCCATAGTGCAGTCGCGAAGAAAATGATTGATTAAAAAGCTTTTAAAAGGAGAGTAAGTGAACTATCTTGGAATGGGTGCTGATTCATTGCAAGAACAGATGTTGCGAGAATCCCCGGATCCGATTGTGCACATCGACCATTTCTTCAACTACAAAAACCACTCACCTGATTATGCACGCAATGTATTTAATTACAGTTTAGTTTTATAATTTTAGCTCCACAGGAGCTTTTTGTAGTGAAAAATGCAAACAAGATTTTGTAGTGATGAACGTGCAAAAGGTACGATGGCACGGCTGTGTGACACGGATTAACAGCTTGATGCCAATGGCAACGTCGTCTATTCATAGTTTGATAGAACCATTTTGATTCATGACAGCAAAAACAGGTACAGCGTTACAAAATTACAATTTTGGGGATTCCTCAGTAATGAATATATTTTTGGAAAGATTTCTCCGTCTTCGGAATAACAACCAACAGCAAAAACAATTTGCCGCGCAATGTGGCTTCCGGGGAGGGTGGCCAGCTGAAAAGCTTTCGTTCAAATGCACGGATTCTCAATTTTGGGACTAAGCTTTGGAGGAGAAGAGGGAATCCGAGCTGCGAAAGCGATTTTCGTTTGCTCCGGAATTCGTCCCCCTGACTTAGGCTTAGTCCTTGTGGCCTTTCCGACGGACTGGCCCCCGGAGGTACATGTGCAAGCCCAGAGTTTTTGCTAACTAAGTAACCGAGATCACCGCGGAGTAGCTACGATCAAACAGTAGCGCAGATCCCTCTTACCTTTAAAGTTTTAAGGTTCTTGTCTTCACTACATTCCCTTATAATTTCGTATAACATAGCTGCGGGCTTACTGCTGCACTTTTTTGACCTAATAATATGTAGGTGTAATTATTAAAAATTACTATCCTCACTTAATCTTCAATAGTACTCAGAAATATTGGTGTTGGAGAATAATATTGTAGCGTTTTCTTTTTTCGAGCGTATAAATTTAATTACGACAAGTATCACCCGAAAAATTCGCATCTATATTGATTTTGAAAGTAATTACTTCTGCCTCTACTAAGCCGTTGTAGTACGCATTCATCGAAATTGTCGGTGTACCTTTTAGACACATTTATTTTGTCAAATTAAAACATTCGTAACACATTATTTTTCGTACAAAAGTCCAGGCATCCATTTCTTTGGCTCCAATAATCCCCAATGACTCACCAGGTGGAGGTACACATTACATTACTACGGGTGTGATGTGAGCGGTTTGTTTATCGATGCGACAGATCGCTTTGAGCGATCGTTGGCACGTGGTGTAGGGGAACGGGGGACGCTTCGCAAAAAGAAGGGATCTTTTCATTGGACTGAAGCCGCAGAGGCTTGTTAGGCTAAAGGCATCAAATTTTTCCTCCACAAAACAAAGATTAGGCAAAATGCCAAAGCAGCTTCGTACCTAAGGGGTGAAAAAAGGAGACACTTGCCTATAGCGCACATACATTAACTTAATGTCCTTCCCATAAGTAGAAGCAGGCCCTCCTCCACTGCCTTCACCGTCCTCGAAATATGACGTCATCTTCCATCACTGTTGTGCTCAAGAAGGCCCACCGTGATCGTTCAAGCCTTAAGCTGCTAGGAATTGCCTCAATCGGTTTACTGACGATTGCTTAACTAGGGACAGGGACGTATGAACATATGAGGTTCCCTTCTGACCAGCGTTCCAGACTAAACGTGTAATGCGTCCATGTTTCGATTAAATTTCCAAGCTGAGCCGAACGTGCGCAACGGTTCCCATGCAAATCCCTTAGGCATGTTCTTTGGGTGATGTGCTCTTCAGTATCAAGTTGGGAGCTCAATTGGAGTTTAGCAAAATGTGGTTACGCTGTCTGAAATGTGAAATGTAGTGTCTCTCTATCTTGGCCACCCCTGTATACCTTCAAAGAACTCCACTTGAGCGAAATTGGGATCAGGGAGTCCACACAAATGTTTTACCCTTGCCCGGTGATAGGGCTGCTTATCGTAGCTTGCACCCCTAGTTTCCCTTCATTGACCGCGCTTAATGTGACTCATTCAGGTCGAAGAGATGATTAGTCTCATTATGGAGCGTTTGTGTCGATCTGCTCGTGTTCCGAACTGGTCTCACCGAAGGAAACTGGAAAAATTGTTTGCAAAGCAAAAAAGGATACACATCTATTATATTTTTCACATAAGTAGCTTGATGGTTTGAATGGTAGGTGCATACGATGAAGCAGAATAAATCGGTACCCGACTACTTGAACGACTCCAAGTCAGTAGATCATGAGTATCGGTTATTCAAGGTTAGATTCGGCCCTTACTTCAGCGGACCCTTCACTCGAAGTTCTTTACGATTTTCAGGTTTACGATGGCGGCTACTACAAAACCAAATTCCAATTTTATGAGCAATATCAACGAGACGTGCTGGAACGGATAGCTCAACCAGTGGACAGAGAACGGGTAGATAAGTATTCTTTTCGATAATGGGTGTTTCGAGGATTGATTATCACCATTCTCTGCATACAAACATTCGCTCCCCGAAACAAACCTGAAAATGAAAGGCAGTCTTATACAGGTGAGGTTCGCCGGAAGACTGACGCTTCGTAAACGCCGTTCGTACAGTCCCAAACTAAATGAGATCGAGGTGAGTTTGTGGGAATGTTATAAAAACCCCTTAGGTGAATTTGCGTTTCTGCTCATGAACACCATATATTTTATAGAGTTTCCGCCTCTTACCTTTGTCCACAACTTCCGATCAGCCACAACTTTGAAGGCCACAGGTGGATTTAGCGTCAAAGAGATAGCTCCTCCTAGAGTGGACAAGAGGGTCTGCGAAGTACAGAGGCGACAGCCACATTAGGTCGCGACACAAGTGCGGACGGAGGCGGCGGTTAGGGCGTAGCCTTGTGATATGGCGTACTGCCATGCCCTTTACTCAACATGCGCCAATCTTGTGGCCCGCTTGCGCCACGTGATCTGCCCGCATTTCAATAATCCTCGCAAGCGCCTAATGTCTTCCGGATCACACCACGACCAACCCTCAGGAGGGAAATTCGTAGTTATCTATTGGCAGCTTTTTGCCCTTTCCACCATTAATGTTCTCATACATACTTTCCTGTCAACTTGGAAGAACAATACCACCAGTTTAATCCGACGCGTGTCTGTGTAACACTTTGCTTAGAGAAACCCCCCCCCCCCCCTCACTTGCCGTTGATGCTTCAAACCTTTCTTCATTCTTTTCCCAAGTGAGGTTACTACAATGCGAACAGCACCAACTATTTCCGACCGAGATGTCGCCAACGCTACCACAAAACTCATCAACTGAAACTCGCTCGATAATGATTTTGCCGATATTGGGGAGCATGCTCACACCCATGCTCAATTAGTAGCGTGAGTTGGAACGAATGAGACTTCTTTGCGGTTTACGTGTCGAATATCGTTGAAAAACTTCCAATCCGATATTACTCGAGTAATCAGCTCACATTATGATAGAGACATATGACACACATGGGACGAGTTTTTCATAACCATTAAGACCACTGATAGTGCCTGCCTCAGATGAATACGCAGCCATGTAATGTTCTTTCGTAAAAGATGAAGAAAGGATGGGAATATGCTCTAATGCTTTCAGTAAGTTCTTCAGGAAACATTTGAAGAGATGTCAAATCAAAAATTACAGTGAGATAACATGGGTTGAAATATCTAAAAGAAGCATATACAGATGTAACAGGATATCTCCCGCTTGGAAAAACAGCACATACTCTATTGATATGTCATACATTAGATTTTTGTCAAACAAATAACCTGTTGACGTATTTTACAGTTCATCGTTTACGGAGGCATTCCACAACTGTTATCTGGACGGCCGAAGAACTGGCAATATACCCCAGCAAAAGTCAAAAGGCAGGGCGCCCCTAACCATAAGGGTGTTGGGGCCGATGGCGTATTTAACGACAATTTCAGAATCTCTAACACCCTGCGCCTTCAAGCTGGCCCCTTTAGACTGGGACCAGATCTAAGAAGATCCTAGAAGTGACTTGACGCAATCAAACAGGACGCCTCTTCTCCTCACTTGACGCATTGTATTCCTACCTTCTTTGCAGTAGGGTGGCCGGCTCATTTTTAGACATACGCAGTGCCCACGTCGTCTACACTTCGCGTGGTCTTTACTACTAAATTTTTTTTAAGGTCGCGCTTCTTTTAGGTGACTTAAAGTGACTTACCCGGTTCTGTCTGAGGAGGCTGAAGTGGTTCGAGCAGGGTCAACCGTCACGTTCGAACATTTTCGGGATTTTTGCGACCCCCTAGCTCTCGAGGGGGTCCAGTTGCGACCCCCTGTTTTTGTTAATAAGAGTGCTAGACATGAATCCGTTGCGCCAGAAAGCGTCTGCGCGTCGTCGCGTCGGCAGGTATCACCCGGGCGCTGGAAGAACGGGACGCGGCGAAGAAAAAATTTTAGAGGGGAATAACTTTCTTGGGACGTACTTTTTTGACTTGTTGAGGTAGATTTTGATTGTGCCTGAGGTGCGCTTCCAGAAAACTACAAGGATTGCCTAACTCTCCGGAAAGTACTTCTGTTAGAAGTGGAAAACCCAAAATTCTAAGAAGGCGCACCTTCAACTTTGAAGGCCCATAAAATCTTTCGTATGCGACATTGGAATCTGTAAAAAGTTTCAGAAACTTCCAAATATTTCTCTCTAAAACAGTATAAAAAGTTTAGTGATTGTCCCCTTTTCAAAAAATTGTCCCGTTCGAACATTTTTCCGTGCAAAAGCGAGTTTTTGGGCTTTCAGCGACCATAACTCACTTCATTTTCATTTCTGTGATGCACTTTTTTCATGGGGTGAAAGTACAGGATTTGCTCTTCTAACAAGCCCAAACCGTTTTTCAAAGTTCATTTTTCGAGAAAATCACACGTTCGAACATTTTGGGGGGTTTTGCCGAACACTTTTTTTGAAATCGCGAGTTTTTGGGCTTTAAGCGGGCATAACTCACTTCATTTTCATTTCTGAGATGCACTTTTTTCATGGGTGAAAGTGCAGGATTTGCTCTTTCTGACAAGCTCAAACCGTTTTTCAAATCCATTTTCCGAGAAAATCACACGTTCGAACATTTTGTTCCCATAGGTTTTTGAGCAGCACATGCGAGTTTTTGAGCTTTCAGCAATAATAACTTCCTTCAAAGAACTTGTTGGGGAGGGGCGAAGACATTTTTGAAGACTACGAGATTTCTGCTTTCTTATGTGTTTTACCGTTGTCTGGAAGAATCGTCCTCAGAAAATTAGGTCCCGAAGAACTTTAATTTCAGCCCCGAGAAGTCAAACCTTTCATAGGGATGCATTCAACTGT